CAGCCAGCATGGCTAGCTGGGGGATTCTGGGAGTTGAAGTCCACACATCTTCAAGCTGCCAAGTTTGAAGAACCCTGCTTTTACAGTATTGTCCGGTCAAGGTTCTGATCCAAAGCTCTTCAATACCTAATGCCAGATTTGTTTCCCTTTCAGAGCTATTTTTGTGATAGTCTCTTTGGGAGTACCTTCCCAAGAAAGATTCAACATTCTTGAAACTTTAAGAAGACAGGATCATTCTTTTTATTCCACAAAGTTTAAAAATCATAGTGTCTATCTATACCCCCTCTAACAATCAGTGACAGCTTGAAAGATACTCGTTGTTTGGAAGAAAAAAGTGAGTGGTTTTATTTTTGTTGACAATCTGATTTTCTATTAACTTTTATGGTTTTTTATTTGTTCTGAGACTTTATGGATATTTTATTATGTATTATGCTACTTTTAAGTAGTGGGCTAGAAGGCTCTTTCAGCTGAGCTGGCAGGATACACATTAAAAATAGATAGATAAATAAGCTATACAATATGTGCTACACACATTTAATTAGAAGTGTTAATTCCATTAATTCTATTAAGGCTATGACTAGCAGTTCTTTCCCTCTACACACACACACACACACACACAAGCTTGTTGAAGTTGTGTAGGTATTTGCATAAAATTTCTGGCAATTGCCCATTTGAACACTGTAATTCTTATTTGCTGGCCCAGCTACTTCTCTTTATTTGGAAGTAGCAGTATTGCTACAAGTAGCTCCATGTCGCCATGAGAGTCAACTATGCAGAACAGATATAACGCATGTACAGTTGGCCTTGCAAAACCTCCCTCAGTGTGATCTCCATTATTACCACTGAAAAACTCTGATAGAAGGCTTCTAGCACGACCTTGCAATTTTCCCTGTATCTAGAACTGAAATCTGAATATAGCATATAGTCATCCACAGTCATTCTTACCACATTAGCTGGAGTGTTCCCATCATAACCAGGTTGATTCAGATCTACCCCTGCCAAATGCCATGCCAGCAAACCATCAAGATCTCCATGAAAAGCAAGACTGCAAAAAAATAAAATAAAAACCATTTATTATTCTAATTATTCTGAGTTCAGAGAAGTACAGCCTACTTTTCAAATGTACAGCACAACCAAGCTTTATAGAATAGTAATTAACCCTTTTTCATTTCTGCCATATATTTATATTTATGTTTTCTGTAATTGGAATGAAAGTATATTTATTTTATTTATTACAAATACTTTATGTCATTTCAATCACCAGCCTCTAAGAAGCTTGTGAGCATAATGTTCAATATACTGTACACCAATCAATAAATATATTGATATATCAAAAATAAAAGATACAGTCAGTGATAATAA